CACCTCTCCTGCGTGTAGAGACGCCATCTACTGTCATTTTGCTAGTAGTAAAGGTGATTTTCATATTAAATGTGCGTTCTTTGTTAACAGGGACACCCATCTTGCCTACCTCTTCTGGCCTGGAACTGGTTCTCCCCCGAACACAGCGACGGAAAGAACGCTTTTCTGGTGTTTGGCCGCTCGTCTACTGTGTACATTGCTCAGCTCTCTGTTTGCTTCCCACCGGATAGTCGAAAAATGTCGACTGATTCGTCGGCTGAGGGTCAAAACTCCACCGGGTCCCATAAGGCGTCTGTCAGTCAAAATCACCCCATCCAGCTTGATGTACTGCGTACCATTAATTTCGACTATCGAATGGTTTCTCTTCAGGTAAGTCATTGTGTTCCTCTAGCCTCATATGACTTATCTAACCTTAAAATGGTGAATGGTAAATGCCGCATGTGTACACAAAAGCATGCTTACTAAAACAAAATAAGTAGTTAGTCATACATGGTAACTTATGGTGTTACTTATAAGGAATCCATACCAAAAGTCCTTAGGGGGGACGGTATGGTGCAAGTTATTTATTCGTTATTTCAGATAGTGCACGCAAATACCTCCCATTGTTACTGACTTACGTTTGATTAACCGCTGTTTGGCGCATTTCGTGCCAAACTGGTTAGCCCCTTGTCAGTTACTTCCGGTTAATTTAGGGAGTTTACTATGTGATGCTGCCCATTTTCTAACAGAACACGTGACTCAGACTACCTATAGGATCGCTCTGCAAGTTAAAAATATGGTAATGTAGGATTTAGTGCGACTAGTGGGAACTACTTAGTGACCCAAGACGAAAAAGACTCTGTCGGAATTGCACGTTTCTATTGCTTGACTCCATCCCAGGACAGATGTCTTCCAGCTACGAGAAATCGTTACTTCGGACAGTCCACTAACTCAGAACTAATTGCTCCCTAATTAGCAAACCAACCTCGTTGTCCATATAAGATGACTAATACCATAAAACCCCTTGGATGTTAAGTTGGGGACAGTGGACACTGGTCTTAACATTCCTACTTTATATCACCATATTGACTAAATGGCTCCCTCAACAGGACATGAGAACATGAATCGCCCGCAGTGCAGGTGGTTTTCCGCCAAATTCCTGGGAATTTTGAGTTAGGGATAACTTTGGGGTTGATTTAAACTTAGATTTAGGGTCACGATAAAGGCTATGGTTTAGGTTTATGTCAGGGTTAGGACACGGGAGTGCTTACCTTTCTTAGAATTATGCACAGGGGCACCTTTATTACTTAGACGGCTGTTGCTATTCCCATGTACTGTTTAGCTGGTCATATACTTGATCCTATCTGTAGCTCGTATGTAACTCGTGCTTCCCAATTGCTTATGGGGGTCGAGCCGGCCATACTTAAGGGTATTATGATTATGACCTTCGGAATATCCATCTTTATCCAGCGGAGTAAAATGTGCACGCTGGCGAATCCGTTGGAATCAGTTGTGGATTAATTGGTAGCTTTTATTTTCTACACCATGGTTTCATTCTGACATTAACACTTTGTTTCTAGGTAGTCTTTTACGATTGTACTATGGTTAAATTATTTTTTAGTGTCTGGGAAACGATCACTTGGCTATAGTGGACTCTGACGAGGTTTTACGCCTGTTCGAGATCTCTACAGAGACCGAAGTAGAGGTAAGTTCTGTGCCGACCTACAAGTGCAGGCCTCACTTTTGCATCGCATTTCTGACGTTTTTATGCTTCTTTTAGATGCAAAATCTCTCCTCAGTTCAGATCTGCTATAACTCAAGTTCCTTCAAGGCAGTCGCAATCGGAGGCTCGGTTAGCCAGGCCTTAGTAAGTTGTCTCCTTTTTCATTTAGTCTGCTTAATTCAACTCAGCTGGTTTGTAAACTTTTCATGCTTATTTTTAAACCAATTCATCTCATTTAGCCGATCCCAGCGAAAAATTATTCATTCATCCGACCTTTCGGACCTATTTTCGGATCCATTTTCAGGCATATTTAAAAAAACCGACAAAATAAACAATTTAGATCGTGAGTTGGCCGACGAGTCCGGTTTCTTGCCACTGCGGCTAAATGTTATGATTTATGTGGCAGTCCCAAATTCTTCCTTTAGCTTGATCACGTGGTTCTCAATATATAGCTACGGGTTTCACACAATGATGGCTTAGTTCACAGAAAGGATCCTTGTGATGCATGCTTTCTCAGCCGTTCGTGAAATTAGCCCCTGTTTACTTGAAGACTACACGAATATGAAATACGACAATAATAAGTCATTAAAGAGGGCATGATTAACTTAATCTCCCAGGCATAATGTAAACGCAGGCTTATTTGAGACGATATTTTGACGTTTTTCGTACTCACCTTACTTGAAACGTTATGGACAACGGTGGGTCAGTTATCCGAAAACGGATTTTTAATTGCGCTCCATCAACCATCTCCACCCACAGATAGAACCTTGCAAAATGGTGTGTGATTGTTATAAGCAAAATATATGGAGATGTACAGGAACACGCTAAGCTTTTTTTACAAGACCCGTTTCACAGTAGACTTACGTAATCGAACTCTGGATTGGCTGTACTTCTTCCCTTTTTTATCATTAAGGCCTCTGCTAGTGAGCGTGCATGTACCAATTCCATAGCAATCACCTCTGGACAGATGGTCATCCTGGGTAGGACTGGCCTTTTCTTGTATTCCCTGAAGGACTGGAAAGACGTACGTTGACAACTTTTAGTCAAACTTGACCTTTACTCTTTTTATTGCTTTAATTTAGCTACTGTTTGTTTGATAGTAGCGCTTTAAGTATCTACACAGAATGATCACTGAGCCCTCTTTTCTAGCGTGTCCGCAGTCTGATCGGATCGGGGCGTACCGTCGAGGCCTTCAAGACTTGCCTGCAAGTAGTGGAAGCCGCGCCCATCGCTGGGAGATCTAGTCTGTGCACCTGTATCCTGGAGTTCCTTCAAGAAGTTTTCTCTGGCAAGGATTTCACTTCCACCGCGCGGTTCTCAGCAATCACTATCGGTCTGACCGTCAAACTTTGTGTTTGTATTGACCAGATGTACGTTCAGCCTTCTTTTTAGGCACAAAACGGAAAATCCTTTTGCTCCAGTTCGTTGTAATTGCTCTCTCTCTCTTTTTTTTCAGTGATTTTCTGCAGACAGTTCTATTTCCGAGGCTGCAAACGGATGCAACTGCGAGGGACAGTCTCCTGAGTAACCTCTGCTCTCTTCTCATTCAATTACCGCCTCTCTATAATGATCCTGACCCCTTGGCCCATACGGGTTCAACCTCGTTGCGTAAATTGTCCCCCGACCTCGTCATGGAGATGCTCAAATGGTGCTTGTCTTCTCAGTCACCATTGTCGCTGTCCGTCAGCAGTCTCCCCTCCTCATCTTCTGGCCTCGTCGACGCCGTCAATTTACCGCGTGGCCGACACCTGGCTGAATCCTGCCTACAGAGGCTTGCTCCGACTAGCCTAGATATTGATCTCGTATGTTGTCATTATTGACTGTGGGGGTTATTCCCCTAGCCCCTCAATTCTGCCAAATCGGTCGGTCGGTTAGAGCAGATCTCCTAGACAACATAAAAACCCATGCACTTAATTTTTTTCAGTCATCTCAGTTCAATTAGATTGGCGGGCCTTACTGCTGCCTTCAACACTGTACCATCGGTATCTGCCTGTTGTTTTTAATGCTGTTCTTTTAATGTCCAAGTCTTCTGCGACGCCACTTCTATTAAAAAGTTTCCCGATACATACAACGGCGACTAGGATGGGCATTTCTGTTTTATTAGCCGTTATCAGCCGGCCTTATCGAACTCCAGCCTCTTGTCGCATCTAAGGCTTGAGCCCACATTTACCGAGCTTATTAAGTCCTATCAATTGAGCCACTGGCCCTTTTTCCAGTCAGTTGCATTTGGGCATATTTGGTTAGGTCCAGTCCAGTCTCCCTGGTCTGTATCGGGACTCCTGTTTGTTATACGATTGTCCACGAGGGCTCTACATTGGGCTGCAAGGCACAACAAGACGTGTACGCCTAGTGTTATAACGGTGCCCTGCGTTGCCAAATGTTATAACGGTGGCCAAGAG